AGAGAGGCAGACGGAAGGAGAGAGAGGAAAAAGAAGAAGGGGAGAGAAGAAGGAAGGGGCAGGAAGGAAAGAGAGGGATGCACAGAGGGCCCACCTGCTTTTTAGGCTGGGACGCTGTAGCAGGCTGTTGACGTAGTTAAGGACTGAATCCTTACATCCCAGTCTTTCACTTATTATAAAAAAAAAAGCAGGTAGATGGGACTAGGGGCGTCGTTCCTCTAAAAAAACTGCTTCCAGCTTACTTTTGGTCGTCGGTTGGCTCTCGGGGGAATGGAGAAGGGGAGTTTTCCTAGGTAGACAGGCTTGTGGGATGCTGTCTGCCATCTGTTTGCTCTGGAGACATGTATCCCTCTTGGCTGTGGCTGGGAACTGTCTGTTTGACAAGATGCTGGTGACACAGAAAAAAAACTTAGAGAGATAAAAGGATCATTATTATTTTATGTTGACATTTATCTGATGTAGATCCAGCCTGTCCTTATGGATTTTGAAACATTGTTAAGCTTTATCAGACACAGATTATTTTAAAGCACCTGTTTCCTTTATTAGTTTGGCATCCAGGAGACAGGTGATCAATTGTTAAAAGCATCTCACAGTAATAGATGTTTACATTAAAGTCTTTTTATAGCGCCCAGATGCTTTTGGGTCTGGGGGTGTCAATACCTTTTAGCTGTTACTGTTTCTTACTTGATGATCTCTGGACTCCGGTTCTGTGGTAGTCCTGTATCATTAGCTGAACAGTGAGTTAGAGCAGGGAACTGGGAAGAGAAAAGCTTGTGGTTTATGAGAATTTATTTATTTTTGGGATTAGGGACAAGGCAAAGATCAGGACCCTGTCTGTATGCACGTGAGAAACACAGGCAGTGGATCTGGAGTGAAGCAATGAGCTCTTATTTTAGGTGGAAATCTCTTTTCATTAAGTAACTCTGAAAGTGCAATTAAATCTGGTGAGGTGGTAAGGCTGTCCACTGTACCCGGCAATAAAGGAGAGGTGGCATCCCAAAACTCCCAGGACTGAGTCAGTGGCTCTGGTGTCCAGAAGGAAAGAAACGGATTGCTTCCCTGCTGCATTCTGGGTTCCCTGCCATGTCTGTAGCCAAGCCTAGGTCTGCTGGAGGTCTTAGCTTGATGTACCCATGCATCTTGGTGCCTAGGGGCAGTCAGCTGACTCTATCTTTCTAGGCGGCACTTTTAACAAGGCTGTTGATGGCCTGGCAGGGCATTTGCTAGCCTGTGGCCTTTTCCTCACTTAAAACAGGGACCCAACAGCTTTTGGGAGTCAGCAAATGATAGCATTTGGCAATTTTGTTTTCCGGCTTTTATCTCTTTCCTGGCACACCTTAAATGCCACAGATGACTCTTTTGCCTGTGGGGTCAGGAGCCTTGTTCTCCAGATGCTTAAGTTTTAGTCAGGGAGGTCTGGGGAACAAGAGATGGATTTTACTCCATGTTCTGATTTTTTTTCTGATGATTGGTGGCTTAAGGACAGCTTTTGGGAGATCTTCCAGTGGGCAGACTATAAACTGATCCTTCTGGAAGACTTGTTTGAGGCTATAAGCTGATTTTTGGCTTAAGAGCCATCCTGACTACTGTAAACGTATTTGTATGGATCTTAGCCGCTTCCAGACCTGTCTGTGTTTCTCAAGGCAGTTTGAGAATGAGTGGATAGAGTTAAGGTGAGTTAGGGCGAGTCATAGAAACCGCCCAAGCCCACCCATTTGAGCCTGCCCACTGCTGGTGGAAATCAGACAGAAAAGGTTGCACGTGGAGACGCAGAAGTGGGGAAGGAGAAGGGTTTAGAACTTTAGCAGAAAGCTTGGAGATAAAGTAACTCTTATTTGCCCGCTTGCTGGTAGAAGTTCTCTCGACTCTGTTATGTGGCCACGTTTACCAGTGACCCCCCCCCCCATCCACCAATGTATCCGCCCCTTTGTCCCATGGCTGTAGCCGAGAGAAAAATAAAAAATTAAAATATCAAACCAGGATCAGACTACAATCTTGGGCATCCCCAAAGAGTGGAGAGAGATCTAAGAATCAGCTCAAGTCACAAGTCCTCTTCATCAAGGGATCATGAGGGCTGCGACTGTACTGCAGTTGGTCCACCATTGAACCCTAGACACCATTTACCCCCTCTTCAGGAGTGACAATGTGCCTGCCGTTGCCAGTACAGCCCGAGGACAACCCCCTGGGGTGTCCATTGCAAAGAATATAGCTCAGACTACAGCCTCGAGAATGGCAGACTCACTGTGGTGATGGCAGCTGTGTGGGGGTCCAGCACAGATGTGTGCTCGTGGTCTTGCAGTCTCAATGGATGGAAGAAGAGGCAGCAGGAGGCAGCAGTCACAGCAGGTCCTCCGTGCTCGGTGGTGTAGCTGAGTCTGAACAGCACCAATGTTGGTTAAACAGCTCATTGCTCGTGGCTGGCCACCGCCTGCAGTGGCCATGCTGACAGAGGAGAGTGCTGTTCGAAAGAATCAAAGCCATGGTTACCTTTTTAGAGCTTTATTGGGAGAGAGGGGGGAGAGAGAGAGGAAGAGGGGGACAGATGGAAGGAGAGAACAGAAAGAGAAGAAGAGGAGAGAGATGGGGAGAGAAGGAAAGGAAAGAGAGAGACGCACAGAGGGCCCACCTGCTTTTTAGGCTGGGACACCGTAGCAGACTGATAATATAATTAAGCACCGAATCCTCACAGTGGTGGTGGTGGTGGTGTCAAAAAAAACAAACAACAACAACAACAACAAAAAGCATGGTCTTTTGAGAATACTGTACCTGAATTTAAAACTTAGTTCTGGTGCTTATTAGCTGAGTGACATAAAAATCTATCTTATTTCTCTGCTTTCCACTTACATCTATAAGATGAAGATAATACCTAATCCAGACAGCTATTGTAAAAGATATAAATGATGTCTGTGAGTCATGATAATTACCAAGGGTAAACATACTCTATTCTGTCAAATGGTTTAGAAACAAGATAAAAATCTTTCAATAGATGAAACAAAGCTATTTCTGATCCTGACCTTGGTGATGTTCAGCATAAGTAAAATTACACACATAATGAATTTTATTTAAGTTATTAAGTTGGAGTTGTCTGTGCCTGATGAGTGTTGTGGAATATTGTTAAAGTATGTTAGATTCTTTTATCTTTTATGCTATGGAATATTTGTTTAATGGTATAAAGATGTGTCCCATCCTCTTATGGTGCATTTGTTTAACTTGGTAAAGGTGTGTTACTTTGCCTGGCTAAAGCACCTAATTGGTCTAATAAAGAGCTGAACAGCTAATAGCTAGGGAGGAGAGAGAAATAGATGGGATTGGTAGGCAGAGAGAAGAATAGGAGAAGAAGAGCTGGAGGAGGCACAGAGTAAGAAGGAAAGAAAGATATATTGAAGAGAGAAAGGTAAAAGCCCAGAGGTAAAAGATAAATAAGATAATTTAAGTTAAAAAAAAAGTTGGGTAGAAATAAACCAAGCTAAGACAGGGGATTCATAAGAATAAGTCTCTGTGTATTTATTAGGGAGCTGGGTGGCAGGACCCCAAAGAGTAAGAGTTAAAAAACAAAACCAACAACAACAAAAAACTACAGATGAGGATCTGAACTGATTCATCTTACTATTGGGTTTCTTGACTCACCAAGAATGGAAAAGATGCTGTGAAGACAATCAAATCTCTGTCCTAGTTATGGATCTCTACTTCTAGTCATACATTCCCTCATATAGATCCTAAAAATACATTCCTTTAGAATCCAACTTATGCTTACATCTCTAATCTGGGTCTCTCCTAGATTAAAATCATGCTTTGCCATTTTTAAACAGTCATATAGTATTTTGCTGACATGCTATGATATTCCCAATATCTGTGTCTTAGAACACATCTGTGCCTTTCTTTACTTGTGGTCCTTCCTGGTCGAAGGTCTGTGGGAATTAACTTCATCAAGGTTCCACATAAAAAGATATTGGCTCTCTGGGTCATTTTTGAAAGGATCAAGCAGACACCATAAGAGGCTGCTCAGTCTCTCAGAGGTCAGGCCGCAATTTCATTTTCCTGAGACTTGAACAAGCAGTTTCTGGGAGGGCCATGAACAAAAGACATAGTCCTTGCAGTAGCTCCCTTTCTGCATGTACTCTGACCACTCAAGGTTCAGCCAGTTGTTTACTGTCTGGGACCCCTCACCAACTTAGAGCTACAATCATGGGTCAAGGACAGAGCCTGGGCCACCGAGGCAGCCCCCACTGTCAGTACGTGCTAGGCCAGCCAGCCTCCATGGCAGCTCAAGGACAAAGCCTGGGACTTGTCCAAGCCTGCTCCAAAATGGTAACTGTAACCCCCAACTAACCCTAGCCAATTAAAAGTTACTAACATGATTGTCACTCACATAAACCAATCCTGAATCTGATTCTATGTAGTCCGTAGACCCCAAGCCCCCTTTGCTTTAAAAACTCTGCCCCATTGCTACTTGGGGTCTCTCCTGCTCTGCTGCTGTGTCTGACAGACAGAGAGTCCCGAGTTAACTCACAATACAAAGACTCTTTGCTTTTGTATGGGATTCAGTCCCTTGGTGGTCTTTGGGGGACTATGGGTACAACAATTTCTTGTCAAAGAAGTAATGGGGACGATTAAGGCAAAATGGGTATTAAGAATATCAGGACAGCAATGCAAGGTTCGGCCGTCCATATTGCTAGTTCCTAAAAGGTGAATTTTACAATCATTTGCCTTGCTCCAGCACTTCCTGCACACTTGGCAATGTACGTGTATACATTAAACTGGGGGAGGAAGGTCTTCCTTTACCCTCCGAATCTCAGCGGGGCCTGAGAATGAAACCGAGTTAAATATATTCACAGGCAGAAATGGCACAAATTTTATTGAAAAAACTTTTTTTCATATTAATGTCTTCATAGGAACCTGATGGCCTATGTGGCTGTATTTACATACTAGTGGCAATTATGCAAAGGGGGGCTAAGATGTGGGTTTAATTCTAAAAGGTCTGTTATAGAACCCTCAGTTTCAACTTCTCTATCTGGTAAAATCTGCTGTTTTTTCAAGAACACGTCAAAGCAGCACACTGCAGCCTGGCACCCATGGTGCACAGCAGGTACCAACCCAGTATTCTCCATTCACATACAGGCCTCTCATAATACTCTTTGCAAAGCTTATTTACAGATTTATTCTGTTATCTGTTTACATCTTTCCCTCGCTACCTTTCAAGTTTCATAAACGCCAGGACTTCTTTTCTCAACCTTGGCAATCCTTGGGAGATTTAAGTGCCTGGGATAAGACAGGAAAGAGTTAAATCAATCCCGGCGGGGCGGGGTGGGGGGTGGTGGTGGGTTGGAGGTGGCTTAAGAGTCTCCATTTTCATTGCCAAAAGCTTTACTGTGTCCCTCATCCTCGATTCAGATCCAGGCGAAGGGACGGATGCACCATCCAGTCCTTGATAAGGGAAAAAGGGAGATTCGACCAAGACTTGAAAGTTGCAACGTTCATCTGTTGAGTAAAATGAACCTGGAAGTCAATGCTGCGCTCTAGGACAACTACAGTATCTCCCAGCGAGTGGCCGAGAGACTGCAGAGGGTCGGGAGGGCGCGCAGGCCGGCTCCTAAAGGAAGGAGTAGCAAGGACTCACGTAATACGACACGGCTCCACCCCCTCCCGAAGGGGTGGACACCGAGTGGCTCCGGCCCCCGGTCGCTAAGCAACCAGCCCCGGAAGTCGCGAGTCGGGGGCGGGCCCCGAGAGCGGGCGGAAGATGGCGGAGGGCGGCCGCGCGGAGCCGGAGGAGCAGGAGAGGGGGTCCTCGAGGCCACGGCCCCCGAGTGCGCGGGACTTACAGGTGCGCGGGCACGGAGCGCGGCGGCGGGAGGCGTGGGCGTGGCGGACGCGGGTCCGAACCCCTTTGTAGCTCGCCTTGCCCGGACCCTGCGGGAGGAGATGATTACCAGGGTCTCCCCGGGACGCGCTTTGCAGGGTGGCGGGCGTGGACACCAGTGCCCGAACCTCGGGCGCCGGGCGCCGGGTCCCTTTCGCACGCGCCGTGCGCGAAGCAGCTGTGTGGAATATCGTTTTGCGGGGCCGTCTGGCTGATCCCGATTGATGCCGCCTGCCTTCTGCAGAGTTGCTATGGCCAGTGCCGAGTCAGCTGTCGCTTAAAAAGTGACTTAAAAATAACGCATGTTGGTTTGTTCTCCTGGATGCGCTTTCAGATTTGAAGACTTACACATCAAAAACAGTTTCTTTTTCTTTGTTTCTTATCAAAAAGCTGCGTTTTTTTTTTTTTTTTTACAGGAGAGAGCTTAAAACAATTCAATCTGAGGTTAGAGCCTACTTGTAAGCGGCAGTCCATAAACCAGTGTAACAGAAATAAAACTCGGTTATGTTATGACGCTGACATTAGCCAGCTGAACACTTGTCCACTAAATGCTGTTTTATCAGTCGCTAACAATACGCACTCATTTTAGGCATTTTTCTATCTCCTCATGAGATCATTGATAAAATGCAACAATTAAACATATGTTAGGGGTTATAGTTAAGAATGAATGAGCCTGATTTCTCAAACCTTCACAGAGCATTTTTAATAGCTGGTCTTCATTCTTTAACCAAACATACTGACCACTTGCTGTTACAACTTTGTGCTGAAGCTTTGGGGAATTTGGAGATCTATAGGACATCAAATCCGTAAGTAGTGGTGGATAGTGTTGTATGGTATTAAATTTTGTGAAAGACCACAGATTTGAAACAGGCTTGTAAACTAGCCTTAATAGCCCAAACCAATGTAAAGTTATAATGGTATTAATTGAGCATTGGTTGGTAACAGGTGACTCTGAAGCCACTTAACTAGTTGTCTTAGTCAAGGTTACCATTGCTGTGATGAAACACCATGACCAGAGCAACTTGGGGGAGAAAGGGTTTTATTTGGCTTATGCTTCCGCATCACCGTTCATCATCAAAGGAAGTCAGGATAGGAACTCAAACAGGGCAGGGACCTGGCTTGCTCTTCATGGCTTCCAAGCTTGCTTGCTTATAGAACCCAGGACCACCAGCCCAGGGATGACGCCACCCACAATGCACTGGGCCCTCCCCCATCAATCACTATTTAAGAAAATGCTCCATCTTATGGAGGCATTTTCTCAGTTGAGGTGCCCTGTTCTCTAGACTCTAGCTTTGTTAAGTAGGGTAGTAAAGGATGAGAGACAAGAGTGATGGGATGGACCTGATCTTGACAAGAGTTTTGATAGGCATTTAAAGATGTAAAAACTAACCTCAACGATGGTCAGCAGTCCACCAAATTTACAAAGTAAGTGCCTAAGTTAAAGTTTGGATCCAGCCCAGAGAGAACAAGGGGTGTATGAACATAGGAGGGAGAAGGGGGAGATGATGGAATTATATTTTAATTTCCAAAAAATAGGGTCTATGTAAAAAAAAATTTAATTCAGTTCTTAAGAGGTCAGAACCATTGATTTGCATTTCTAGGGAAATTGCCTTTTTAGAAATTCACAAGTTGATGCATCTGTGAGAGATAGGATGAAGGAGGAATAAAAACAATTAGGAAAGAGAAAAATGGTTTCTAGGTGTCTTGAGTGTGTATTTTCAATGTGTTTATTTAAAGGTCTAGCTAGTCTTGGTTGGCCAGGGGATGTAGCTGGGTGTTAAGAGTGCTTGTCTAACATGTATGAGACTATGCCTGCATCCAGTTCCCAGCCCTGGAGAAAGACTGGCTGAATTGTGCCTCAGTTACTTATTCTCCTTTCCCTTCTGAGGAAAGAATATGCAGAGATAGTTACTTGGTGGAGGAGAGGGTTTGATTGTAGAGGGTGGCAGCCGGCTTGAATAGCCACTAGGAGCATTAAGGAAATTTGTTTTGTTTTGCTTGTCTTTTGAGACAGGATCTCTCACTACACGGCCCTGGCTGTCCTGGAACTCCCTGTGTAGACCAGGATGGCCCCAGAATCACAGACATTCTGCTTCTGCCTCCCAAGCACTGGGATTAAAGGCATGTGCCACTATTGCATGGCTCTTTTCCCAGAACTTGATGAAATTTATGTCTGATAGACTTTTAAGCAATACTTTTGAACTTGTTTTATGTACTTGGGTTTTGAAAATGACTAAGTGAAATTATATTGTGAGATTGATTTAGAGAAATTGGCAGTAGCTTGAACTGTCTTCAAAAATTCTTTAAAACCTGAAAGAAAGTTACACAGGTCCAAATGCGAAAATAGTGTGTTGCCAAACTCAGTTTTTGAAATTATTGACTAGTTAATTAAAAAATTATGATAACAATTTTTTTCTGTCATAAGGCAGTTTGATTAATTGAATACTATGAGACCTCATGAGTTAGGTTGTTTTGGGAAGACAACATCTTTTGAGGGAATTATTAATAGTTTCAAGTTAATGCCTGTTGCTCAGCTGTCTAGAAGTCTGTTTCCATTGCTAACTGGATAACACGCCCATCCGTCCTTATGTGTAGTTGGCCTTGGCAGGACTGTACGAAGAGGAAGTGAAATGCAAGTCTTCCAAGCCTGACAGACCTACAGCTGCAGCCTTTAAGAGTCCGCGGACACTGCCCCATCGGTGAGTGTGGCCTCCAGTCGTCCGCCCTGCGTAGACACGAGCCTGGACTGATTTTAAGTGACCCTGAGGATTTTTTAAGTTAAAAGTTCTTGAATAGATAGATATAGAGATACTATTCTAAAGTTTTTATAGTCAGCAAAAAGAAACTTCTAAAAAATTACCTTGGTGTCTGATATTATCATAGTCACCTTATAAAATTATATCTTGAATCCTGTTTTCTCAGGCATGATGGCTCTTGAATATTTTTGTCATGAGGCTCATTGAGCTCTGATGAAATGTCTAGGCCCTTTCCTTCCAAAGTAGCATCCATGTGCAGTCTTGTCAGTTGAGTCCAGTGGGTTTCTCACCACCGTCCGTGGGACTTCTGTGAGTCCTTGGTCCCCAATGAAGAATCTGTAAATTCTGAAGTTTCTGTGTGTGCTTCTGTACTGTGATGCCTAGTCTAACAGATGATTTCCTGGGATGTATTTGTTATCATTAAAATCTCTGAGCTATAAAAAGAACAGACAAGAGGATTAGAAGATAAGGATCACATATATTGTATCGTGAATATTATGATTTTTCTGGTATTACATTATAGAGCAAACTTCAATTTTCTTATTATCTCTCATTCTCAAAAAATGTAGTTTTATCAGAAGTAGAAAAACCCCCTGGATATTAGGTTTTGTCACTTCACATTCTTTTTGTAGGGGAGACAGTAATGATATGTATCTTCCAGTACTTGAATGATAAGGAAAAGCTTTATAGTTTCTCCCCTATATTTTCTTTTACAAATTTTAAAGCCCATAGAAAATGTAAAGGCTAGTAAAATGAGTAAACACTAAATGTTTCACTTTTCTTCACTGGTGGTTAAGGTGTCACACAGCATTGCCCTCACTCACGCATGCTGACAACAAATTATAGCCAACATGACACTTCTAAATATTTCATTGTGCATCCCCTAAGAGTAAAGTATATAACCTACGTAACAAAGTATAGCTTGAAAGTTAACAGTGGTGCCATGATGTCACTGCTTCCAGCAACCTTTGGGAATTTGGGGACCCAACTAGAGACTGCTCATTGCTTTTGATGTTTCCTGTGTTGAGTTTTGGATGCAGGGCATGCTCTCTTCTTCTTCTTTTTAAATCTGTTTTTAGCTTACCTACATAATCTAAAATTTATTACATTCACTTTTTAAAAAAGTATACACCAGATGTCTCAAAATGTCCCACATTCTAGATTACTGTTTCCTCATAATTAGATTCTTGTTAAACATTTTTGTCAAGAGTACTAGATAAGTGATACTGTCTGCTTTTTATTATATCACATCAGGAGCCATATAATTCCAAGTTTTCCCACTCTTGGTGATATGCTCACTTGGTTAAGGTGCTGACCACCACATCACTCCATTGTCAGGTACAGTTTGTCTTTGTAATCAGCAGGTTGGTATCTCGGCATGGTTTGAATATACTGTCCTTTGACTTAACCCTTATTTGTTAGATATATGAGTATACGTAGATGTGTGTAATATTTTAATTGCCTCCTTAATGTATATATTCCTTCTCCCTCCCAATTTTTTAAAGTATTTAATGTGTTTCTGTACCTAAGTTTTGCTCATTTAGTATTGCTGTGTTTAGTCTTTGGCTCCCTAGCTTGAGCACATGAGAATGACTTAATTTTGCTTTTAGTGCAATAAACCTAATATTTGAATTCTTACAAGATTGATGTGTAAATATTTTCCTTGTGCTTCACGGATTAATTCTGTGATTAGGAGTTCAAGGTTGTCCCAGGCTGCCAAGGAGATTCAAGCCAGTTTGAGCTGCCTCAAAATACTAAGGTCTGTGGATGTGGCTCAGTGGTAGAGTTTTGCCTAGCATATGAAAGGCCTTGGGTTCAGTCCCTAGAACTCCTTTTTCTAGTGGATGAATTTACTTATGCACTCTGAAAAATTTTGTTGCTTGTAGTTTTAATTTGATAATGCTCTTTTGTTTGTTTTGTTTGGACATGTCATGGATTAAACTTAGTATGCCACACACATTAACTGTATATACTTCAACTACTGAGCTGTACCTTTCCAACCAGTAGTATAGTTACTAAAGACTTTTGGCTCAAGTTTGACCTCAAGAACCATTTACCACTCAAAAGGATGAGTTTTTTTTTTATAAACTACTGAGACAGTTTAATCACTTAAGGTACAGTGCATACAGAGATCATTAGCAATCTTTTTTGTAAGCATGATACTATTTTCACTTCATACAACAATTTGTACTTCCCTACTTTACATTCAGTGAGAACATTTGCCCTGTTTGCTGTTCCACATAGCAGCTGCTCATTGCCCGTCCTCCTAGCGCAGTATTAGAAATCAAAAGTTGTATGTTGCTTGTCATTTTGTTCTTGTGATTTTCAGGGTATCATATGTAGCCTAGGCAGGCCTAGAACTCACTGTCAGTCAGGCTACCCTCAAACAGGCAATCCTCCAGCCTTAGCTTCCCAAGTGTTGAGATTTCCAGAGACTGCTAGCACCACCACACCTGGCATACTGACTTTTTAAGCCAACTGTACTGGTTAGTTTTTGTGAGCTTGACACAAGCTGCAGTCTCCTGGAAAGAGGACTCTCAATTGACTCCATCTGACTGGCCTATAGGCATGTCTGTGAGGGCATTTTCTTGATTAATGAATTATGTGGGATGGTCCAGCCCATGTGGGAGGTGCCATCCCTGGCAGGTGGTCTTAGGGTGTATAAGAAAGTATGTTGAGCAAACCATAGAGAGCAAGTTAGTGAGTAGCATTTCTCCATGTCTCAGCTTCAGTTCTCACCCCCAGGTTCCTGCCATTACTCCCCTCAGTAATTGATAACATGTATAATGGAATAAACCCTTTTCTCCCCCAGTTTGTTTTTGGTCAGTAGAAACTAAATAAAACACCAGCGTATTTTCATTATCAGAAATACTGGATATAGTGTGGTCTATGTGTTTAGCCTACAAGAAGTGTGTAATCTGTAGAAAAACCTTCAGGACAGTTTGACAGCTTCTTTAACAAATTGACTCATGAGAGGCTGTATACAAGAAGCAAAATGTAGGCCATGTCCTCCACAGATCATGTAGCATTGTTTTGAGAATTAAAAAAGATGGACTGTGCAATATGCCTAGCATGGGCCTTAAACAATGACTACAATCTAAGTCCACCTTGAAGGTCAGGGACGAAGAGGTGCAGACGAAGAGACAGGAGAGCACAGAAGGAGAAGCTAAGGACCAGTATAGATTAGTGGCAAGTGAGAGATGTTGGGGAAGTGGAAGTGCAGCCGGGTTGAGCCTCATGGATACATCACCCGTGCTGTCACACAAGTCTCGACTCCTATGAGGGCCTTGTGCTGGAGTAAATGCTTGGCTCGTTAGTGTGTTTTGAGTGAGGGGATGTAGATGTTCATATTGCAGTTGGCTCCCGTTAGTGTGTTGCGTTCATTTAGAAGTCACTGAAATGCTAGTGTGCATTAAAGTTCATTCAGTGAAAAAGAGCCACAGCTACAAGACTGTTGCCTAAGCAGAGATGCCTCGCAGAGGCTACCCCCGCCACCTGGCGTGCGTGCGCATGTGCGAGTGCGTGTGCGAGTGCGTGTGCGAGTGCGTGTGCGTGTGTGTCTTTTTCATTGACCTCCCCTAGTGTGTTTTCTCATCTGGAAATTGGGGATCGTTTAGTTACAAGAATTGAATGAAAGTATATTTGCCCTTCGATATTGATTATTAATCCTTTTAGGAAAAACTGTATCTTTTAAGAAAAAAACACTATATCCTTTTAGAAAATAAATGTAAAATTACAGCAATGGGAGAAAGGATGTTAAGTGAGAAAATGGAAGTGGGAAATGTTACTGTACCAACTGTAGATACTCTTGGTCCTGTCTCCACAAGGAACGGCTAGAGAATTCATGAAGCGCCATCCAGCTCAGGGTGTAAAGTACTCAATATGGAGACTTATACCAAAGCTGAGGAGGCCTAAGAGACTGATCAGTGAGCCAAGACGGCACCCTGAGTCTTGCACCCTTGGAGATGGCTGTTTGGCTCTGACAGAGACGCCACTGCAGAGCATCGAGGAGGGAGTGTTCCGTGGCATAGTCCAGGGAAGACATTAGTACTGGCCTCTCCCTTACGTGACATGCAGTCATCAGGTCCAGATGGATCTCAGCTCTGAATATAAAAGTTCAGACAATGGGGCTGCTTGAAGAAAATACAGTGCTGCGTGATCTTAGGGGAGGCTGTAACAAGCTGGTAAATCTTCCCGTGACCAGTGTTCTCAGTTCGTTGTCACCAAGGCAAAGAGGCAGGATCGTTCACTTTGCCAGCTTGTTGACATGAGACGGGGAGGGAAGAAGCTGTATGGGGGCAAACATAGAGGAAGCTTGGCTCTGCTTTTCTGTTTGTCAGTTACCTGAGGCCATGTGCTGTCCGGTTCCTCCTCCCCAACACTGCTTATCTCAGAGACAGGCAAGCTCTTTGTTCCCTGCTCACTGCGCGCGCACACACACACACACACACACACACACACACACACACACTCACCGCCCCCAGTGTGCGGCGTAAGCATGGAAAGAAGGCTTTGTGGGTTCTAGTGTGCTCAGTGACACTGACGAGTGGCGCCCCTCCCCACGACAGTAGTGGCATTCTGCTGCTGTGCACACTTGTGTCCAGGTAGATTTTCTTTGACTTGCAGGAGATGAGAACTGCCAGTTCCTCTGTATCTCATTTGCCAGTTTAGGAGAAAACCTTGAAGGGAACCTCTGTCTCTTCTCCAGGGCTGTTGTAGTTTTTCACTGTTGCTCTGTGAGTTAGTTTGAATTGGGAACTAGAGTAGAAGGTATGGGAAAATAAAAAGTGAACTCTATCACCTTATACTGGAAGTCTCTGTGATACTTCCTTGATTAAATGTTCTGATATCCTGAGCAGAAAAATCAGTCATGAAAGATTAGAATATTAATCTTAGGTGAATAGAAATTTATGTTTTGTAGCTGTTATGAAGTTAGAGTCAGGGCAGATCTTAGTTACTACATAGGGAATATATGATGTTATTTACACTGGGAATTGTAATGCAGTAGGTCTTTCTCCGAAGAATAAACGTTCATTGTATAGCCATATGGGGCAGGGCAAGAGTAGCCCCTGGGAGTCGACAGTGCTTCCCCACCACAGGAGAAGAGCTTGCTCTGTGAAAATAGGAATCCCTAAGCAGTCACCCAGGGCTGAGGGAGGAAACAAGGATTCTAGTTGCTGTGTTGCTTCCTGAAATTGTCAGAATCTCCACAAACTCAGAAGGGATACAAACTATCCCTATTTTATATTTGCCTGAGTTCCCTCTTAAAGTTACATATCTCTGAAGAACTTGGGTACTTCTTAATAAATAAGAGTTATTTCATATGACTGTGTAGCTTCTTATTATAGAGTAGTTTATGTCTATTCTGAGTTTTTATTTATGAGCTGTGATGTTTAAAGGCTTTATTCAGGTGAACAGGAATATGGTGGATTACATATAGTTCAACCTCCAACTGGGAAAATTGTGAATGAACTTTTCAAAGAGGCAAGGGAGCATGGGGCCGTCCCTCTAAGTGAAGCTACAAGATCTTCAAGTGATGACAAAGCCAAGGTCAGTGCTGTCTTAACTATCTGGGACGTTAGAGGTGCTTGGACGTGTGTCTTGGTAAAGCCTTTCCGATCTTGGATTGTTGGGAATGACTGTTCTCCATGAAACTTCAGTTTTAGTCTTTATTTGTCAACAGCTAGAAAACTTCCTTCTGTCAAGCCTTGAGGTCATTTGAACATTTCCAAGTTCTCCACTTCTGTTTAAAAAAAACAAAAAAAGCATGGAATTGATTTAGTATGTGAAACAAAGCAAGGTTGTAATTTAAAGCACATTTGTGATGCAGTAATTAAGAGAAAAGCCATTTCTCCTCAGATTATCCTACCTGAAGACTATGTATTCAGTATAGCAAGATCAAAAGTGTGATCATAGCTGATGTGATATAGTTAAGATCAAATTGTGACCATAGCTGACTTACTGTAGCTAAGAAAACAGCTTAAAATGGAGGCCATCACAAGAAACCAGAAATGGCCACAGTGCAGAGATCAGCAGGTCATGGGGAAGCTCAACCCCAATAGATAACACAGCTCCTGCATCTGTGGCTCAGGGAATGTCTCAGAAGAGGGGGCAGAAAGACTGTAAGAGCCAGAACACCAGGAAGCCTGCTGGGAAACAGTCTCCTAGAAGTGGCTGTGTAAACAGGACTGGAACAATGACAGTTTCAATGGGCATGTTAGCATGGAAGGGGAAAATTGCATGTGGTCACACCCCTAAAAAACGACAAGCAACTATTGACTGCTGGGAAAAGGAGAATTACCTCTCCCAGGGATGCGTCTCTTATTGGTTATCTAATATGGAGTGATCAGCCTTGAAACCATATACACACCACCAACAAAAACATGCAGAATGAGATATGGATTTACATAACGTGTATGTATGTAACAATAATAAAAAGAGGCTATCAACTTGAGGGGCTGGAGGGGGGAAAGTGATGTAATTTCTGTTTCAATTAGAAACATCAAAAACGTTTAAAAGCCTGTAAAATACATACAGAATTCTTTGTTATAATTATTTTATGTGTGTGCTCATGTACACACATATCCACAACCCACATGTGGTAGTCAGAGGACAGCTTGTAGGAGCCTTTTCTCTCCTACCATGTGGCTTCTAGGGATCAGACTAAGTTATTTCACATTTTGAGTTGCTAATATTTATATGAAAACACATTTAATTTCTCACATACACTTATTTATAACTTAAGGTCTTCATTCCATTTTATTTTCCTAGTCACTATGAATCTGGCCAATAATTATTTGTCTAGTTTTGAAATATCAAGTATACGAATAATGTTTTGACTATAAGCCATAGTGAACTCTTAACCCATTTATCATGTATTTCAGTCATTTACAGGTGGAGGATACAGATTGGGCAGTTCCTTCTGTAAGCGTTCAGAGTACATCTATGGAGAACATCAGCTGCAAGATGTAGGTACAGTCATCAAAATGTTCAAGCATTCACCTCCAGTTCATAGATTTCTCCCCTTTCTGAATTAATTGTTGACACTATAAATACAGTCTCTTATTAGTTTTTGAAGTATGAGTTAAAGAACCTGTGTGTTTTTAGTCGCAATATTTCTACTGCTATATTAGAATGTATAATTTTTAGGGTTTTGGTTTTTTTTTGGTTTTTTTTCGAGACACGGTTTCTCTGCGTAGCCCTGGCAGTCCTGGAACTCACACTGTAGACCAGACTGGCCTCAAACTCACAGAGATCTGCTTGCCTCTGCCTCCTGAGTGCTGGGATTAAAGGCGTTTTCTACCACTGCCCAGCAGAATGTATAATTCTTAACATTTTTTCTTTAAGATTGTATATTTTTATAATACAACATGAATTAAATTATAAAAACATTTGAAATCATTTCTGTTGCATTTGGAAATATTAAAATTACACATTTATTTTAGATATTAGCAGTATCTTAGAAGGTTTCCCTTGCCCCTTGGTGTGAATTTTTAAGCTGTAGAACTAGAGAGATTTAGAGTGTGGATGAAAGGTCTGAATCACAGGTTCCAAATGGAGTCTGTCTTCTCGATGCTTCTGTTTCCTCAGTGAGCTCTGAGTGATTGCTCAGAGCAGCCTCCACCCATGGGACTTTGATATTTGCAGCTATTTTCAGTGTTTTAAGCTAAAAATAAACCTGCTAACTAAACACATGGACACACATGTTTAGCTTTGACTAAAACAAATATCTCTGTATTTTAAGGTAAATTAATCAGGTAGTAAGTTAGGAGAGACAACATTGAAACTTAAAATTGTTTGGAGATGAATTTTTTTTTTTTTTTTTTTTGCCCTGTCTCCAAAAGGTTCAAGTTTTGCTGAAGCTGTGGAGCAATGGTTTTAGTTTAGATGATGGAGAATTGAGACCTTACAATGACCCAACAAATGCTCAGTTTTTGGAATCTGTTAAGAGAGGGTAAGATGAATTATTTGTGTTCTCTTTATTATGTTGAATAGAACTATTTTGAGTATGTCCATACATGTTCCTGTTACTACATATATGTACATGTGCATGTGGAGGTCATAGGTCAATCTCAGTGGTATTCTCTTACTTGCCTAGAACTTATCAAATAGGCTAGGCTGGCTGGTCACTGAGCCCCAGGGATCTGTGGCCCACTACTGGAATACCAGCGCATAGTACCACATCCAACCTTGTTACACGGGTTCTCTTGAGTTGGAGCTCATGTCGTCATGCTTGTGTGGCAGCTATTTGACCAAGTAGCTTGTCTCCCCAGGCCCTGTTTCTCTTTTAACTGTTCTGTATACACTACTAGCTTTCAAGAATAAATTGCTATAACATATTCCATAAGTGACTTTGGGGAGGTGAATCTTTGTGGAGAAAGGACATTGGATGATTGTATCTCAAATGTGATGACACTGTGGGCTTTACTCCAAGAAGAAATATGTTAATAAATGGAGTAGCTCTATCTGCCTATCCATTAAGCCTCTGTCCAGCTTACTGTTGACAAGATACCATGACGGGGCAACTTATAAAGGAAAGCATGTGATGGGAGTATACAGTTTCCGAGGGTGAGTCCATAATCATTATGACTAAAAGCATGGCTGTAGACAGGCAGGCATAGCAACCACTCAAGCAATAGCTGAGAACTTACGTCTGATCCACAGGCATGAAGCAGAGAGCCAGCTAGGAATGATGTGAGCTTTAAAATCTCAAGCCCAGCCCCAGTGACGTACCTCCTCCAAAGCCATGAATTCTGATCCTTCTCAAAAGTTCTGCCAACTGGGGACTGAGTATTCAGATTTGAATCCTTCCAGCGTTGTTGACTACAACACACTTCTCTCTCTTAGGCTCATTCCTCTCCCTGTCAGCAGCTCTCTTTGGCAGATATCCCATGGTTTTGGCATCTCCAACATCTTGGTTCACCAGTTGGCCTCTCTGGGTCTCCATGTGGGGACACACCTGTCCTTGGCAACTCTTCTTTTTTTTTTTTTGAGACAGCGTATCTCTTGTCTAGTTTTGGTGCCTGTCCTGGATCTTGCTCTGTAGACCAGGCTGGTCTTGAACTCACAGAGAACTGCCTGCCTCTGCCTCCCGAGTGCTGCTATTAAAGGCGTGTGCCGCCACCACCCGGCTCAGCAACTTCTCTTAAACCCTGTTCTCCTGTATCCTTTACAACTGTAAAGCTAGAACCCTGTGGCCAAAGCTGCCAGATTTTGCTGCCTGCCTGGGATGGAATCTGGCTCCTCCGTTGAATTACGTGTGCATAAGTTTTGATTTGTTGTTGCTCATTAGGAACAGGTGACACTGTAGGACTTTCCTCTTCACAGGCTGCAGGATTAGCTGGGTGGGGTTTCCCTGAGGGTGCCACTCCCTTTATTCCCTTCTCCTTATCTCCTTCAGCACAAAGCATGACTCCACCATTAAATTTCCCACTGCTTGCTTTCTCCTCAAACTGTACATCTTGTATTTCTTTTTGCCCTGCTTGCCCTTCTTCATTGTAGACCTACATAAGAGTGACCACTAATGACCACTTGACAGTCAATACTAGGCTCTCTTGAAATCACCTCTGTCAACCAAATTAGTCCAAAACTGTTCAACTTAGCCTCAGGCAGATTCTTAGGACTAAGCAAAAACCAGCCATATTCTTTGCCAGGATATTTCTAGCCCAGTTACCACTGTTGTTCCCCTCTGAAATCCTTGAGCTGAGCTTCCATAGTCCACATTGTGCTCAGCTTTACATCAACCATGTTCCTACTAGGATGGTCCACTAAGTTCCACTACAGTACTCAACAAAGTGCTGCATGGTCAGGCCTATCATATCAATACCCCACTCCTGCTGTGGAGTTTTTCCTAAGTAGAAATACAACTAAAGACATAAGGTCAATGATGAGTTGTGAGGTTACGTAGCAGGAAAAGCCCACAGAGAAACTGAAGGTAGAGCCCTTTTAATGAAATTTGACCAGGAGATTGGCTGAAGTGGGCTAGGGATAAAATTCTTTGAAACAACAAAGGAGCGCTGAAGGAAAGATACTGTAGAAAGTGAGTCAGTGTATATTTTTATTTAAATTTTGCATAGATCAAGGATACCTAACAAAGGCAAGAAATGCTATCAGTAGAGTGTTGAAATGGTAGCAAGTACCTGGACAGTGTTATGTAGTTGAAAACTAAGAGCAACTAGGTATGGAAATAGTCAAGTAATATGTGAAAACCAACATTGCTGTTCAGTTCATGCTCTAACTTCAAGGAGATAGAAAAAAATGTTAACTATTTGCTAAAGTTAATTTTCGGGCAAGAGGGATATTCAATGGGCTTTAAAATCTGAGCCACACCATATCATCAAGTATAAATAATGATTATAGTCTCTTTACTGAGAATATCAGTTAGCTAAGATCCACTAGCTCTTTCTTAAAATATTTGGTAATACTGTCTTTATTGCCCTGTGAGAACAACTGTTAGGTAGTGTAATCCACTTATACACATCACTTCTCTAAAACTTGATATATTCTACCTTACATATATTAAATATAGGAAAGTAATTTTTCATAAGTCAGAAATGCCTATCAGTGATATTTACATTATTTCTTTAATATAAGCTTATATTTCAGTTTATATATGCCTAATTCATCAATCTAGCACTTCCTATGTGATTATAACAGGTATAAAATTACCATAATGAAGTGTGTGGAGTTGTCAGCTTAATTACTATAAGAGACATTTCATTCAAGAACTTAATAAAGTTCCAAACAAAATAAAGTGTAATTTAAATGGTAGGTACGTTCTTGGAAATGCAAGTGATCTCAAAAAATAAAAGTAGGAAAACCTCCAAAAGTACTTAGTGATTTTTGCTTATTTATAGGACAGAAATAGGCCTAAATATTATGAGAGTTGTTACCCACATAAATCTCTGGCACTGTCTGATTCTGTCTAACTATGATACTGTCCTCAGTGTAGAAGACGCCTTCCATAGCCATGCGTTCGACAGCCTCTGCCATTGACACTGAAGCATGGTGGTGCTCACTTTCCTGATAATCAGAAATACCTTTATCAGTTTCTGACTCCCTCCAGGATGGAGTTAAAAACAATGATTGCTGCCAGGGATGGTGAGTCTGTGTACCCAAGACGAGTCCTTGTATAAGATAAGACCGCTTTGCAGCGCAGAGCCTTTTTAATTTCATGCAGTGCAAAGATGTGAAGAATGAAGACCCTTACTCACTGTTGGTGGAAGCGTAAACCTATGCGGCCACCAAGGAAATCTGTATAGAGATTTCTCCAAAGGTGGAAAACTACCTCCCATGACACATACAATATTTTCCTAAAGAACTCTAAGGCAACATACCATGGAGATATTTACATCTGTGTTTATAAAGCACTGCTCACAGTAGCTCAGAGATTGGAGCAGCCTAGATGTTCATCAGCAGATGAATGGATTCAGAAAATGTGATAAATATGCAAAAAGCAATTCTCTGAACTGGAAATAATGTTAGGCAATAGCAGCCAGGCTCAAATAACATCTGTTTTCTCTCATATGCATCATGGAGATTTAAGATTTTATATATAGGTAGATATATGTGTTTGTGTTTATATATGAGTACATAGATCATGAAACTAGAAAGGGGGTCATGAGAAGGGAAGAAGAGATCTTAAAGTCAATGGAAAGGGAGATTAATCAGTACATGTGAAATGAAAGTAGAAGAGAGGCAGTCTATTTCCAGTAAAGAAGAGAAAAGCATGGAGGACAGGAAGGCAGAGAAACCAGTAAGAACAAAATACAAGATATGTATGTATGCAGATGCCATAGTGAAATCTGTTACTTTCTATACTAACCTAAAAACATTTATTTTATTTTATTTTATTTTATTTTATTTTTCTCTTATATATTACATCCCAACCACAGTTTCCCCTCTCTTCCCTCCCTCTAGTCTCCTCCCCCATCTCCCCTCTTCCCCAGATCCACACCAACACAGTCTCTTCTCAGAAAATAGCAGGCCTCCCAGGGACATCAACCAACATGGCGTAATATGCCACAATAAGACCAGGCACATACCATCACATCAAGACTGGACAAGGCAACCCAATAGGAGGAAAAGGGTCCCATAAGTAGGCAAAAGAGTCAGCCCTGCTGACTGTTAGTAGTCTGACAGTGACACAAGCTACTCAGCCGTAACATACATGCAGGAGAACTAGATCAGACCCGTACTGGCTCCCCAAGCTCAGTGGGGCACCAGGAGTCCTGGTCAGTTGATTCTGTGGGCCATGTCCTCTTGGTGTCCCTGACCCCTCTGGTTCCTGCTATCCTTCCTTCCCCTATTCCAAAGGACACCCCGCACTGTGCCTAATGTTGGCTGTAGGACTTTGTATCTGCCCCCATTCAGTTACTGGATGATGTCTCCTGGTCTGTTTGATGACAATTTTTCTAGGCTCTGATCCCAGTATACTCTGCAGGCACGACAAGCTGCAGATTGAAGGTTTTTGTGGCTGGGTTGGTGTCTCAATCCCACCACTTGAGGCCTTGCCTGGCTGCAGAAGATGGCTGGTTCAGGTTCTGTGTCCCCCATTACTAAGAGTCTTTGCTACAGTTACTCTCGTGGCTTGCATGGGGTTTCCATTTCACTAGGTTTTCATCTCACTGCCAAAATTTTCCCCAATTTCACTAATTTCTCCCAGTATCCCCTTCTCACAGTTGATCCTCCTGTTCTAAACTTCCACTGGTCCCCAGTCCACCAGCAAAATCTGTTCTATTTCTCCTTCTCAAGGAGATCCTTGCATTCCATCTTGAGCCCTCCTTGTTACTTAGCCTCTCTCGGTCTGTGGATTATAACATGGTTATCCTTTACCTTACAGCTAATATCCACTTGTAAGTGAGTACGTACCATGTTTGTCTTTCAGTTCCATCCATTTGCCTGCAAATTTCATAATGTCATTGTTTGTAGCCGATGAATAATACTCCATTATGTAAATGTACCACATGAATAAAGTTTCTTTATTCATTCTTCAGTTGGGGAACATCTAAAACATTCTGTTGTTTGCAGTTTCTGGCAATTATGAGTAAAACTGCTATGAACATAGGTGAGCAAGTGCCTTTGTGATAGGATGTAGTGTCTTTTGGGTATATGCCTAGGAGTGGTATGGCTGAGTCTTGAGGTAGCTCACAATTCCCAGTTTTCTAAGAAACCACCATATTGATCCCCATAGTGGCTGTGCAAGTTTACACCCTATCAGCAGTAGAGGTGAGTGCTTGCTCCAGATCCTGGACACTATGACCTGTCACTTATGTTTTTGATCTTAGCTATCCTGACAGGTGTAAGATAATCTCAGTCGTTTTGATTTACATTTCTCTGATGGCTAAGGATGTTGAACATTTCTTTAAGTGTTTCTTGGCTATTTGAGTTTCATCTGTTGAGAATTCTGTTTAGATGTGTAACCCATTTTTTAATTGGATTATTTAGCTAATGTCTGGTTTCTTGAGTTCTTTATATATTTTGGAGATCCAGATATGGAATTGGTGAAAATCTTCTTCCATTCTGTAGGCTGCCTTTTTGTCCTATTGATGGTGTCCTTTGCCTTACAGAAACTTTTCAGTTTCATGAAGTCCCATTTATCAATTGTTGATCTTAGTGCCTTGCCTACGCTATTGGTGTTCTGTTCAGAAAGTTGTCTCCTGTGCCAATGCACACAATGCTGACATCCAGTTAGACCAGCACCCTTTGTTGAAGATGCTGTCTTTTTTTCTGTTACATATGGCTTCTTTATCAAAAATCAGATATCCATAAGTATGTGGATTTATGTCTGGATCTTTGATTTGATTGCATTGGTCAATGTGTCTACTTTCATGCCAGTGCCATGCTGTTTTTATTACCATTGCTCTGTAGTACAGTTTGAAATCAGAGATGATGATACCTCCAGAAGTTCATTTATTGTGTAGAATAGTTTCAGCTATCCTGGGTTTTTTGTTTTTCCATATGAAGTTGAGTATTATTCTTTCAAAGTCAGCAAAGAATTGTGTTAGGATTTTAATGGGGATTGCCTTGAATCTGTAGATTGCTTTTGGTAAAATGATCGTTTTTTACTGTGCTAATCCTACCGATCCATGAGCATGGGAGATCTTTCTACCTTCTGATATCTTCTTTAATTTCCTGCTTCAAAGACTTGAAGTTTTCATCATACAGGTCTTTCGCTTGCTTGGTTAGAGTTACCTCAAGATAGTTTGTATTATTTCTGGCTATTGTGAAGAGTGTTGTTTTCCCTGATTTATTTCTCAGTTCATTTGACATTTGTATATAGGAGTGCTACTAATTTTTTTATTTAAGTTAATCTTGTGTCTAGCCTCTTCACTAAAGGTGTTTATCAGCTGTAGGAGCTCCCTGGTAGAAATTTTGGGGTTACTTATATATACCATCATATCATCTACAAATAGTAATACTTTGACTTACTCCATTCCAATTTTTATCTCCTTGATCTCCTTTAGTTGTCTTATTGCTCTAGCTACAACTTCAAATACTATATTGAATATATATTGAGAGAGTGGACAACCTTGTCTTGTTCCTGATTTTAGTGGAATTGCTTTGAGTTTCCATTTAATTTGATTTTGGCTACAGGCTTGCTGTAAATTGCCCCTTTTTTATGTTTAGGTGTGTCTCTTGTATCCCTAATCTCTCCAAGACTTTTATTATGACAGAGTGTTGGATTTTGTCATAAGCTTTTTCAGCATCCCGTGAGATAATCGTGTGTGTGTGTGTGTGTGTGTGTGTGTGTGTGTGTGTGTGTGTTTCAGCTTGTTTATATGGTGGATTACATTGGCAGATTTTCATATGTTGAACCATCCCTGCATCTTGTTTTTATGATGGAATACATTGACAGATTTTCCTATGTTGAATCATCCCTGTATCTTGTTTATATGATGGGTACATTGACAGATTTTCATATGTTGAACCATCCCTGCATCAAGCCTACTTGATCATGGTGGATGATCTTTTTCATGTGTTCTTGGATTGTGTTTATGTGTATTTTATTGAGCATTTTTGCATCAATATTCATGAGGAAAATTGGTCTGTAATTCTCTTTCTTTGTTGAATCTTTGAGTGGCTTGGGCATCAGGGTGACGGTGGCCTCATGAATTGGCAATGTTCCTTTTGTTTCGATTTTGGGTAATAAAAAAATTTGAGGATTATTAGCTCTTCTTTAGAAGTCTGGTAGAATTCTGTGCTAAAACTGTTTGGCCCTGGGCCTTTTTTGGTCAGGAGACTTGTAATGACTACTTCTATTTCCTTAGGGGCTGTAGGTCTATTTAAATTGTTTATCCGATCTTGATTTAACTTTGGTAAGTGGTATCTATTGAGAAAATTGTTCATTTCTTTTAGATTTTTCAATTTTGTGGAGTATGGATTTTTAAAGTATGACCTGATGATTCTTTGCATTTCCTCAGTGTCTGTTGTTATGTCTCCCTTTTCATTTCTGATTTTGTTAGTTTGGATGCTCTCTTTGTCTTTTAGTTAGTTTGGATAAGGGTTTGTCTATCCTGTTGATTTTCTCTAAGAACCAACTCTTTGTTTCATTGATTCTTTGTTTTGTTCTCTTTGTTTCTATTCTGGCCCTTTACTCGGAGGTGATGTGGGTATTTGATGTTGAGGTGTGTTTCTTGTATGTAGCAGCAGAATGGATGATCCTGTTTTTGTATCCATTCTGTTAGCCTGTGTCTTTTTATTGGGGAATTGAGCCCATTGATATTGAGAGATATTAAAGGCCAATGATTGTCAATTCCTGTTATTTTGTTGGTGGTGGTGGTAGTAGTAGTACTGTGCATATGTGTTTCCCTGTTTTGGAGTTTTGCTGATGTGAAATTATTTATTGCCGGTGCTTTTGTAGTTGTAATTAACTTCCTTGGGTTGGAGTTTTCCTTCTAGTACCTTCTTCTGTAGGGATGGATTTGTGGATAGATATTGTTTAAATTTGCTTTGTCATGAAGTATCTTGGTTTCTCCATCTATAGTGATTGAAAGTTTTACTGGGTGTATTAGTCTGGGCTGGCATCCATGGTCTCTTAGAGTCTGCAGGACATCTATTCAGGCCCTTCTGGATTTTAGAGTCTCCATTGAGAAGTCCAGTATAATTCTAATAGGTCTGTGTTTATTTGTTACTTGGTCTTTTTCCTTTGCAGCTTTTAATATTCTGTATTCTGTATGTTTAGTGTTTTAATTATTATGTGGCAAGGGGACTATTTTTCTGATCAAATCTGTTTGTATGCTTCCTGTACATTTATAAGCATGTCCTTCTTTAGATTGGGAAAATTTTCTTCTATGATTTTGTTAAATATTTCTTCTGGGTTTTCAAGCTGGGATTCTTCTCTTTCTATTCCTATTATTCTCAGATTTGGTCTTTTCATAGTGTCCTAGACTTCCTGGATGTTTGGCATTAGTTTTTTAGATATAACATTTTCAACTGATGAATCTATTCTATCGTATTTTCTGTGCCTGAGATTCTCTCTTCCTTCTCTTGTATTCTGTTCCTCTTTGGTCTTCTGGTCTTTGTGGCCTGGATTTCTTGTGTCTGGCATGACCTCTGATCTAGTAGAGAGTCTCTGGCAAAGTTGGGGGCTGACCTTCTGGTGGCTAGCTGGCTTTTGTTGCAACAGGGGGTCTCTGTTCTTCTAACTGGTATGGCCTGTGCATAAGCAGAGGGCGTCTGCTGGGGTTGGGGACAGGGCCTGGAAGTGGGAAAGGCAATGAGCTGGGAGGATGTGTGATGTGGGATGGTTCTTTGGGAACAGAATCTAGGGAGTGAGGCAGTTCAGCTGGCAGCCAGGTCACTCACCTGTTCTTGTGTGACCTAAAACAATTTTTAATTTAAAAAAGATAACTCTGCCATGGCCATGTCTCACAGCCCCGCCCCTTATGCTGAAACATGGAGTGTCACCAGTCATCTGACACTGAAACACCTTGGCATCAGTTCACACAACTTCTAATTTACTATTAGAAATAAACACGTGCAGACTCCCAGTACTTGAGAGTCTAAAGCAGGAGGATTGCTGTGAGTTTGCAACTAGCCTGATCTATATACTGCATTCCAGCCTAGCCTGAGCCACAATGTGAGACCCTATTTCTAGAAACAAACAAAAGTATTTGAATTAACTTTTAATTCATATAAGAATTCTCTTGTGCTAATTTAAACATCAATTGCTGTCTTATAATTTGACTTTCTAAAGATGCTCAAAGGTTGTTGTAAATCACTAAAGAACAGTGTGACTAGCCAGATGAGATGGCTCAGCACTGGCTGCTTTTTCAGGGGACCAGCATTTACACAGTGCTTTACAACCATGTGTAACTCCAGTCACAGGGCCATATTTGTCTTTCAAGGGCACCAGGCATGCACAGACATACATAGAGACAAAACACTCATACATTTAAAGTAAAGTATCAGACTTAAAAATGTGTAATGTAACTTGGAAGAAAGAATAATCTATGTGGACCCCAAAACCACCATGGAAATTTTTGTTAGCATGTAGCTCATGATTTAATTATAGTCACCTCAATGGAGTAGTGTACTTTTAAACAATCTTAACTAAAACCTTCTCTCCCTCCTTTTAAGAGAGATTCCCCTGGAGCTTCAGCGACTGGTCCATGGCAGCCAAGTGAATCTGGATATGGAGGATCATCAAGACCAAGAGTATATAAAACCCAGATTGCGATTTAAGGCTTTTAGTGGAGAAGGGCAAAAACTTGGAAGGTAAAATTCCTCTAGTAAGAAAAACACCTTTTTGCTCAAAATGATATTTCTTTGAGAATAAGAAATAAAAAAAATAAAAATGACTTGTGAAGTAAAAAGTGAGATATGAGCTATAAAGACCTTCCTACTGGATTTAGGGGTTTAACTTGGATAATAATATTAGTAGCAAGTACCCAGAGATCAGTCCTGTGTGCACTCAGTAGCTCCTTTGATAACAGCTCTTTAAACAGACACTGCTCTTGCAGAGGACCAAGTTTGGTTTCCCACACCCATCCCATGCAGCGTGCACCTACTTGTAACTCCAGTTCCAGGCATCCGTGGGCACCTGCACATGTGCACACTTAGCCACACAGACACACATCTGTATAATTAAAAATGAAAATAAATCTTTACTCAGTTTGGAAATAATAGTAATTTGCCCAAGATATGGTTGAGCTAGAGAATGACTGGAACCAGTTCCAACCCACACACTCTGGGATGTGTGCTTTTGACCACTGTGCTGTGTTCTCTGGTTCAGTTTTGGCCATTTTCATGGAACTGTATAATGCATGATGCTTTGCGATGCTTTGAGCATATCCCCTGCACACACTGCCCTCCTCCCTCTCCTACGAGCTTCCTTTGTTCTCCTGTTCTGGTTCCATGTGTTTTTTTCTGTTCTTTGTATGTGTGTGTTCTTTCATTTCTGTTTCTAATTACACAGCTTCAAAAGAGAAACTGTAAAGTGTTGCTGATTGGAAAAAGCAGTGGATATATTACCTCACACCTTCCGTGGATGTGTCTGCCATGAACAAACACTGAGATGCTGCAGCAGGGCCAGTGTGCTTCAGTTGATCGTTTTCTGTGGTTTGTAAGCAGCCCTTAGGTTCAGTCTCCAGCACTACAAACCTGGCCTGGTGGTCCACACCTGTAATCCTAGCACTAAGGAAATAGAGGCAGGAAGAGCAGAATTGCAAGGTTACCCTCAGCTTCTACCCAGTCTGCATCCAGTTCAGTGGTATACTCACTCTGTTGCTTGCCAGACCTTGAGAGCTTGACCAGGCCTCAAAGTGGAAAAAGGAATTTGTTCAGTTTTAATATACAGAAATTTAACACCAGCATGTTAGTGTGACATGACTCAGTACACATAAACTCATATTTAATCAAGTATTACATTTTCTAAAGTAAAGAATTGCTCCTGACATTTTACATTAGACACTTACATTAAGAACTGTATTAAGTTTGATCCCTGGCACCAAAACTTAGGAAAAAAAAAAAAAGAAGGAAGAAAATTGAAACTAAAAAACTATTGATATAGAAGCTTAACAGTTCTCATTTTCCAAGAGCTTAGCACAAGCACAAAGAAGAAAAGAATCCATTTTTGTCCGTAGGCAGTAGTCTAGTTACAAAGGGTGTACAGGAGAAGTTAGCTGAGTTTTCTTGTGATACACCAATAAATAGAAATAAGGAAGTCATGGGTGACGGCTGGACATTTACAAACGGTAGGATAGCTTGAATTGAGCTGGATTTGAGCCCCAAACGACCTACAAAATGTCAGTCTTTTGCTGGCAGGAAGGACTAGAGGTGATATTTGCCAAGGGCTTTTGAACTGTATAATGATAAATGACGAACCTTGAGTAGATAATCTCTGTGTCTGTTTGTGTGCTGTTTAGTTGAGAAGATTCTGATTGCCACTCGGTCATCTGTCACTGACTCTGAGATGGGTTTTGCGTTTGTCCCTAGTCTTCAGGATGCTCTTTTGTCTGATGCCAAGCGGCCCCTCTGGCCTGCCTTCTGTTTCCTACTGGGTTAGCCCTTACCTCTCCACAGCCACTGGATCTTCTGCCTCATGCAGCTGGGACTGCTTACAGTGTCAGCCTGTGGAGCAGACAGTGCTGGGCCCCCTAGATGCCGTAGGACTGATCCCAGATGCTCCCTCCCTTCCTCACTCAGCCCTCAATCTTTGCCTGTGTCACATGCTTAAGCACATTGCTTTGCTTTGGCTTCAAAGAATTTCTCTGGCTGATGATAATTATTTTCATGTTACTTTCAGATGTCTGAGGGAATCTCAGCTCAAATCCTTTCTTCCTGCTTTCTTAAAAGTATCTTTGTATCTTAATTTCTCTCTTTAAAAATAAATTGATTTTAATTAACCTTAAAATAAAAACAGTATATGAAAATGTCACTATAGAGGGCTGCAGAGATGGCTCAGTGATTAAGAGTATGTGCTGCTCTTACAGAGGACCTGGTTTGGTTCCCAGTACCCATTTGGGGCAGAGCACAACCATCTACAACTCTAGATTCAAAGGAACCGATGCCTTCCGTGGCCTGCACAGGCACAAGGCCTGCTCATAGTGCATATACATAAATGTAGGCAAAACACTTGTACACAGAACGATCTTTTTTAAAAAATTGTCCCGGTAGTGTGATGGTTGACTAAGGGGACGTTTGCTGTGCATTGCTGTAGTCCAGCAGTTATGAGGATGAAGCAGAAGGATCAGTTCGAGGCCCACCTGAGCTACAGAGTGAGACACTGCCTCAACAGGAGGGCGAGTGGGGAAGCAGTCAACAGCAAAGAAAAGTAACTTTGGAGTGAGCGCTGAACCTAGTGATGACACCACAGTGCCTGCTCACTAGTACTGAACTTAGCATGCGAAAGGGTTCTGGTTCACCTCTGACTCAGAGCTGTTCCACTGATACGGCGGCCATACCTGTTCTGAACGTCCCTCCATTCCAGTTTGTAAAGAATACATTTTTACACTCAAGCTTCTTACAAGCGCGCTTTCTACTGAGTTCCCTTCCTGTTCGTACTTCATTCTTGTTTGGGAAGAAGCTTGCCTGCTGGCTCAGAGTTCTCTTTGAAGATATTAGATGATGGAAATACCTTTATGCAGTAGCTCTGTGTCATAGAAAAGAGCTAAGTCAGCTTTGTCGTTTCTCAGTAGGTCACCCTTTAGGTAGTGTCGAAACCTAAGGGCCCTCGTGCCTGATGGGGCTAATCTGTACAACAGAGCAGTTCTCCCCCAGCAGACAAGGACTCGGGCCAGTGGGGATGGCTGACTCGGCGGGGTCACGGGACAAGTGAGTGGGATGAATGTGTGGTGCTGTTGATCGTGTGTGCGCATGGTTGCTGGTGAGGAGAAAGACCATCCTGTCTTCCGGCACCTCTTCATCTGATCTTCATCCCTCTCCCCTGTGGCCTAGCTTGACAACGCAACTGCTTAAGATTTTAGCGTGGGACTTGAGGAAGAATTTCCTTCAGTATCTAGTAATTTACTGTGTTTTTCCTTTTGTGTATTTTTATCACATATTTTCTCAGATTGGATGTAAATCTGGAAGCAGGAAAAAGTGGGGCAAGTGTTGGCAGTAAGATCAGTTAACTTGACTGTCTTGCCATATAACTTAAGTTTGGGAGAAAGTTTGGATGGAAGCCTAGTGCTCATAGCTTTATAAAGTAATACATGAGGTTCTGAACTCCTAGGACTTAAGAGATTTATAAACAAAGATGTGAAAACTCCCTTAAGATGCTAAGGAATTGTTAGATTTGCAGATTTGGTGAAATTTGTTTTGCTCTTGAAGGAGTTCTTTTTTCACAGTAACTTTTAGTTTATGTCTGGTCATCCTGATGATATTAGAAACTATTAAACCAATCAGGTCACTAGTAAACAAGATTGAAATGGTAAGGTGTTTTGTCTAGAAAGTTCCAGTGTGAATTAATGTGAGAAATGAATTCATTTCTCACTAATAACTTGGAGCTGTTTTTCTTTTGCAAAGCAATATCTACTTAAGAAGTTTTTTAAATAGTATTACCAATGTTTTAAAGCAACGGTTCAGTTATGATTATATAAGCAAAAATAGCTTTTGACTTCTTTGTTCTAGACATTATGCTGAAGGACTTCATGGGTTAATTAATGCATTACAGAACACAGTCTTACAGAATTAGACAAGGTTGAGGTTTTTCCTCAAGTGCATCCAGTTAGAACATAGTTGGGATTTGAAATCTTTTTTCTTTATATTCTTGGGTCTCTGATTTCTCATTTCTCCCTGAGCTGTGTGGTAAACAGTGTGAGGTAAGTTCAGAGATGAAGTTGGAGAAAATGCAGCTAGGTTTCTGAGAGATCTGGGATCTCGTATTAGTAGGAGTCTTAAGCACAGACAAATTGTAATGTAATTAGAGAGGCCAGAAGAAGTAGAGAAAACTGAAAGTAAGCTGTGGTCTTGTTAGGGAAGTCCTCTGACCAAGCACAGCACAGCTTACTGCAGAGCTGAGGCTTAGCTACCTTCAGTGTGTCCTGCATACTCAGTTTGTGTTCATTCTTAAATCTCCTTTCTTAGCCTTACACCTGAAATCGTCAGTACTCCTTCCTCCCCAGAAGAAGAGGATAAATCAATACTTAATGCAGCTGTTCTTATTGATGATTCAGTTCCCACTACAAAAATTCAGATCAGGTTGGCAGATGGAAGTCGTCTGATACAGAGATTCAACAGCACACACAGGTGAGCTGCTGCACCAGCCAGCCAGGGGTCTTTGCATTCATATACTGTTGCTCATATACTGCACAAAGCATAAGGAATAGATGGAGTTCTTTACATTTCGAAGTAAGCTTTAGACAGAAGAATATTTAAAAGGATGGTAACTACCTACAATAAATGAAATAGATGGTAATAATTGTAAATTATCCTATTTGTCTAAGTTTAGACAACTCAAAGATAGGAGCTGTAGTTTTGCATTGTAACTAAAACTACATCAAGTAGGCTCAGATTCAAGATAGTTAGATCCTATTGGGACTTTCTCAGTTAAAAAGTGATCACTGTATGCTAGGATAGTAGTACACACCTGCCATCCCATCATTTGGAAGCTCAAAGCAAGTACAAGTTTGAAGTAAATCCGAACTACATAACAAGACATTATCTCAAACAAACAAAAAGTTTATGAAATTCTGATGAGAACTTTCTGTTAGGAACTTCATAATGTAAATGCATGGTGTAAGTAGTTTGTATTGTTGGTACAGTATCTCGAATAGGCTGTTTCATTCTCTTTAATACTCATTTGAATATAAGTATTTTCCCTGCACATAGTAGTGCTTTTATTTTTCACTGGTTGTAAGACCCTGCTGTGCATTTATCTTAGTTAAGTTACTAGGTATATGTAAGAGTAATTTTTTAAATTCTTTTTTTGTTACTGTTTTTAATGGTAGGATTTTGCTGTGTGACTATGTAGCCTAGGCTAGCCTCAAAATCAGTGATCTTGACTTAGCCTTCCAACAGGTGGAATTACAGGGCTATACCACTACGCTTAGCTTTTATATATATGGGTGTGTGTGTGTGTGTGTGTGTTGTAGAATATTATTTTAAGATGTGTTACATTTGTTTTTCCTGTGGAACATTTGTTCAATGATGCCAAGATGTATGTGTTGCATTTGTTTATGTTGTATTTGTTTAACTCAGTGAAGCTGTGTTACTGTGCCTGTCTAAAATACCTGATTGTCTAATAAAGAACTGAACAGCCAATAGTAAGGGAGGAGAAGGGATAGGTAGGGCTGGCAGGCAGAGAGAATAAATAGAAGGAAAAATCTGGGAGGAAAAGGAGACAGAGCAAGAGGAGGAGGACATAAGGGGCCAGCCACCCAGCTATACAAGCAAAACAGAGTAAGAAAGAAAGGTATACAGAAGTAAGGAAAGGTAAAAGCCCAGAGGCAAAAGGTAGATGGGCTATTTTAGCTTAAGAAAAGCTGGCAAGAAACAAGCCAAGCTAAGGCTGGGCATTTATAATTAAGAATAAGCCTTTATGTGTGATTTATTTGGGAGCTGGGTGGTTGGGCCCTCCAAGAAAGTAAAAAACCAGTAACATTTTGGCCCCCAACATGGCACCGTAGAAAGCTGAACTGCTGCATTCCTCTGTGTGTGTGTGTATGTGTGTGTGTGAGATTTATAGTGTTAGGCTCATCCTGCCCAGTGTCTTAGAGCCTTACATTGCCAACAGTTTTTACTTTTAAAACAATCAGACTTGTACTTTTAATATAACAATATTGTTTATACTTATTTTATATATAATTCACTTAAAGATTGTTTTTGTTTTATTACAAATGTGTACTCCAAAATTATTATTTTTCTTTCAAAATCTGATGAACTTTCTCATTAAAACAATGTAAATTAAAGAAATTATTGCACCTTTAAACAAAAGTTAAGTTATATAATTTTTTGTGAGAATGATTTTAGCTCAAAGTTTGCATGGAAATGTGCCCTTGTTACAACCAACTATTTTTACTTATTCTTTCAGGATTCTGGATGTCCGAGACTTTATAATACAGTCACGTCCTGAATTTGCAACAACTGACTTTATTCTTGTGACTTCGTTTCCAAGTAAAGAGCTGACAGATGAAAGTCTGACCCTACAAGAAGCAGATATTCTTAATACCGTGATACTCCAACAGCTAAAATAGTATTGCTCCAACCCATGTAGGAATAGGTAATGTGCGTATTAGTAAAATACTTTCAGCATAAAAACAACCCAATTTTTTACCATTCAGATAAATTCTGTTTTTGCTGTTGATCTATCTTCCAGTATTTGTCTAGATAAATTTAGACTACAGATAGATCTTGATGTTTGAATTTTTAGTTGCAGAGCTGGCTTCAATTGATAGCTGTAAACATCTAGGTCAGCCAGCTTACTGTATGCTCCGTGTCAATGTAATAATGTTTTCAGATGAAGTAAAAAGAACTCTTTTTTGGTAAATGTATTTGGTAAAATTTGTGCTCAAGTTTTTTAATGCAGCAATGAACAGTAGCCAGTAAAGATCCCTTTCTGTAATATATACCAGAATGTCTGCTCTGAGTTTGACACTGTTTGATCATATAATAATTAAGATTTTGCATATTCTTTTTACGTATTGTTTGAACTATGTTAGTATTTTGGCCTTGTATTTTGTAAAATTGCAAGTATCATAAACTAAATTTTAGTAGATGTAAAAGTCATCTGCTCTTGAGAAGACATGATAGACAGCACTTTAAAATCAAGAAATTATAGTCCCTTCCAGAGCCTGCCTGGATCACTTTCATTTGTTCATTCAACATTTTAATAGGGGATCTATTACACATAGGAACGCTATTGAAGGTATGCAACCCAGAGTGTATTCTTCAGTGTATGAACTCTGTCTGAGAGACTGGAGCAAAAATTACTAGCAAGATGTTTGTTTTCCTTATCCAGGCATGTCTTAAATGCTTCACAACAGAAAAGCATGTTTCCCCTCAGACACCATTCTATCCTTAGTCACCATTTCCAGGTAACTTTCTGTTGTTGATGTAAGAAATACAGAATTTGTGACTGAAGTAGCACAGATTTTATTCTCTTAAAAGTATGTAGGTCGGAAATTGAAAATGAGTTTCTCTGTGCTACAATCAAGGTGTTGGTGGGACCCTAGACAAACATTCTCTGGCTGTTGAGCCTCGAGAGGCCACCTCTGTTCCTTACCCATGGTGCTCTCCCTCATCGACCCGCCAGCACTTGTGTCCTTTGAGCCTTCTGTAGTTACACCGTTCTCTGCTTTTGAGGACATGTAAGGTGAGAGAGGATGCACAGACAAACGCACCCATGATCATCGCCAAATGTTACTTATGGTAACCTTAATCATCCTTCAGAGCTGCTCTTTCCATTTCAGTTACACCTTCATGGGAGTGGGGACATTGATATGGTCACTGTGGTGACAGCCCACAATATCTCAGAGATTCATTTACCAAATAACTCCCCCCGTCCATCCAGAGGTGCTCAGAAATCTCAATGTATCCAACCGACTCAAAGTCCAAAACCTTATCTGCATTTCATTGGTTCAGAAGTCCCAAATCTCATTAAGATTAGCTAAATTAAGTAGAGATTTCATCTCGGCCTATGACACTAAAAGCTAATTATTTGCTCACAGGTAAGTGTCAGGACAGCTATAGAATAAGCTACGAACATTGATGTGTAAAAGACAGGAAACAGTGAAAAGTGGAGCCACTGTCACCAAGGAGCATGCAAATCCAACCAGACGTCCCATCAACATCTGAGGCCCAACATTAATGTGTGGCTCTCGTGACTTAGTCTTCTGAGTGTTGACTGTGTCGTCATCTTCCTCTCACAGAAGCCGCACAGCTTGTTTCTTCTTCTCCTCGTGTTGTGCTGTGCACCTTTCACTTTACAATGGCAACGATCTGTCAAGAAACTTAAGGATCTCCCGTGTGTCATGGAGATTGGCTCCATCAAACAGGAAGTTCTTCCAAGCATCTTTCTACTAACAGAAATAATCCCCTCACTAATTTTTAGTTTTTCAGAGAAAACAGAACTGTGTCATACCATAATCTCTTCGAGAGCCTTCTGTGTGACTGAATATGCAAACCATTTTATTACATGTGTGGTGTGCATGCTTGTGTGTGTGTCTGGACGGGTGTTTGGGAGAAGTCTGAAGTTGATGTTGGGAATCTTCCTCAATCTCTTTCCACTGTATTCAGTCAGTCAGGGTCTCAGGTAAACCCAGAGCTCAGCAGTACAGCTAGTCTGGCCAGCCTACTCCAGGAACTCCTGTCTCCACCCAACATGGCAAGCACTTTAGCTCCTGAGCCGTTCCCAGCCCTTCAGACCTTTGGTTCCCTCTCGTGTTATCTAAGAGTTGTACACCCACACCCTCGTTTCTGAACATCAGCTTTCCCCACAGTGTTGTCACTTTTAAAATACCTTTCTTAAGTGCTTGTCGTTCAGGTAGGACCGAGAATTCCTTCCACTAAGCCCTGGTTTCTTCTTATATGTCACCTTTTCACACAGTTTCTGTTTACTGTAAAACTCACTATAACCAGGAAGAGGAAAACAGGTTAAAGTTTACCTGAAATTTTCAGCTTACTCTTAAGCTTATCATGTACAAATCCTGCTTTGCACGTAACTGTACAACTCAGCTAAGCTGCAGTTCTAAAAGATTACCAAAGCCAGCTGTGGGCACACATGCCTGATACCACCACTTCAGACCTAAGGAAAGAGCACTGTGACCTAGAGGCCAGCCTGGGCTATAGTGTGAGACTGCCTTAAAAAAAAAAAACAAAAAAAAAAAAACAAAAAAACAGATAATCTAGCTTTCTGATGAACCACACAGTGGCTGGAGGGATGGAATCAGCAGATGGAGCAGGGATGAGGATCCATTGAAAGCCTGGCAGGCATAGTGGCTTCCTCTAGACTCAGCATGTGGCAGAGCTCTGCAACACAGGACTAACCAGATTAACTAAACAGGATAGCTCCAGGTTCAGCAAGACCCTCCCCCTTCAATAAAGAATGTCAACTTCAGGCCTCTAGGCACACACATGGGCTTGCATACTGTGTGTGTGTATGTGTGTGTGTGTGTGTGTGTGTGTCCCCACCCAACACATACACACAAAAAGGACCAGTAACACCTTATTCACTGTAAATAAAAGGGCATTACCTGTTTTAAAAACAGGGAAAAAAATATCCAACCCTTGTAAAATAATTTGAATTTTTCTCGTAGCTTTTTTATCAGTTGTGTTAAGTACCTACAAATTCAAATGCTAATGACTGCCATTTTTGTGTATAAGTCTTCCAGAAGACAGAAGTGTGTGTTATGACAAGAATTGAATGCCCATACAATGACAAGTCCTTTCACAGATACTACAGTATAGGCTTTATTGAGAACCCATTTATTTATACTGTAGTACTGTAACTTTTCACATGTATCATCACAAAGCAAGGCCGCACAATGACACCTTGTCAGACAAGTGTCTGCGGACAGTTGTTTCAAATGATGATGTAATAAAAAAGTTTGCAGTGTCTTCCTGCTAATAGTGTTTTTGTTCAAACTTGTTGACTATGTTTTTAAAATTATCCTTGATGTGCAGTTTGATTTCAGTGGTTGACTGGGTTACTTTGAACGTGAGTCTTCACGGGGTTTAATTGCCCCTTGTTTGGGGGCAGAGACGGGCCTGAGCTAAGACAGTGTTGTCTCAGTTTCCTGTGGTTGGTTGTTTTTATTCTACCACATGAACAGATTCAGGTACCTCCTGACTGTTTTCCCCTGTGTATTTCTGAAAACATTGGCATAAAGTATATTATAATAAGGTACATTCAGTTTTCCCCTTATGAGTTTGTACCCATGTTGATATTTGGCTAATAGTGCTGAAAGCTGAAGAAATTTTTATAAATCTCTAAAATATTTAGTGTACACTAATTTCAATTAAGAGTTGTAAACGCGTGCATGTGTGCATGCGTGTTTTATAGCCCAGTACAATGACCTATGTGGCCTACAGCTAATAACATGTAGCTTCGCAGTTTTGCCTAATAGAGAACGCAGAGCTGTGACATGGGGGCCGTGGGAAGATGGCTCTTTAGACAGTTTGAACTTGATGACCTCTCTTCCTTAGATAAATGTTTACATAGGAAGCAGAAAGACTCAGAATCACTTTACTCCACAGCCACCTTAGGAGCTCCCTTGATGCTGCAGTTGATTTCGGAGGGGACTTCTGAAAGGGGAGATGTCGGGAAAGCAAGTGAGTCTCCACTGGTTGTATCATAACACTCCCTGTACTGCAAGACCAAATAAATGACCAGTAATTCAGTATGTGGACATAAAGACCTTGCACAGAATTATCAACACAGTCCTTTCCTGTTGGCAAGTTAAGATATTGTATGCTAATTAGGAACTCAAAAAGGGACCAGGAGATTAAAGGTGGGTGTCAGCTGCCCCTGTGTTGAACAGTCTCTACCCTCCTTCCTTTTTCCCCTGCAGTTTGCATTGGCTTGTAGTGTATCTGAGTACTGAGCATTCAGAAAGACAACTAAACGTCCTTGTGTTTTGTGACTGACTTGGTGTTTGTGCTTTTCTTCTCTACACAGTGTACATTTGAATGTGTCTTTCAGAACACTTATTACGGAAGGTTCATTGGTGTGGTTTTCATATTTAACATCTTCCTTATTTTAGTTTTGATTTTTACCTCTATGACAAAGTCTTATTTCCTTGCTAACTTTGCCACTTTTATTTTAAGATCAAGAATAATAACTCATTTTTAGTGTTATATGACAATATGTGTTAATTAAAAAGTGGCAAAAAAAAAAAAAGGTACAGTTTTTCAGGAAATGGTCGACTTGAACATCGTATGTGAGCATAGTTGAGAGCAAGTGGATGACCTGCTTTCAGTAGCCTGAAATTTTTACTGAAGTTGAATGTTGTAAGAGAAGTAATTCTTAAATGTTTATATTTTCTGTAGATTAATGTTAAGTTCAACATTCCATGGCATGAGGTATTTTTATATAATATTCATATAATAAAGTTGTATGCAAATACAGTGTTTTCATGTGTTTATAAAAATGCATAATAACATTGAGTGTAGGAATACCCCTTCAAAACAGATATTTATAATTAGATGGTAGTATTTGAAATATTGTGCATACAAGTACTATATAGCAACTCAAACTGATCTGATCTTGTATTCTTTAATATTAAGATGTATGCCATTCATTTTCAATGAGGAATATATATCTTAGAGATGTGTGGGTTTATCACTTATTGAGGGCTTACAGGCATGTTGTAGTTAATGTCATTGTATTGTATAGCTTATCCTGGCCTCAGCTTACTTAATAAATACAGTTTCTTCAATGAATCCTCCTTTCATGCATCAGCCTGACATCCCTATCTCCATAGCTTCTTTACCCTTTTACAAGAGCTGTTCAAAATAGTCTTAGTAATTGAACTTCTGTTCTCATCTGCTAATACTGCTGCCATTCCCCAGCATTTCAGACAATGCAAGGATTTTGATCCACTAGATCCCTAGATCCTATGGTAGTTCCTTACATAAGAGTGGCTCTGGATGGCTAAGTAATGAGTTAATGGATGCATGCATTTATATTTCTAAACAAATTCAGAATGCTACCAAGAATACCAGTAATAACAAATGTTTGTTAGTTTTATTAGGTTTTGAAAGGAGAATAGATCCTGGACATGCCATCTTGGTTCATTTCCAGGACTAGTTGCATATGTACCATAGTTTGAGTAAAGTACCCAATGGTTTCTCCATGGTAATGGATGAAAAAGCCCAGCTAATGCTTTCATGGGCAACTAAGAACATGAATGCCTGGGTATTTCTGAGTCCTAGTTGGTGTATACTGTGATTCCAGAAATGTGGAGATATGGAGATCCTGCCAACAACCTAGTCTGAAAAAGGCATTGTGTCTGAGAGTAACTCTGACTTGAGATACACTAAGGACAGAGGGAAATGGTCTGTACAATACATTCTCCTTCAAGGATATGAGAGTGTGCTACTTGTGAGGTTCCCGCCGATTGTTTCTGTCTGTACTTCTTTGTCTTTGTTATCCCTGGTGGTTGGTTAATTAAAACCTTCTGTTCATAAACTAAGCTGTGCTCTCTGCAGCCAGATCCAGTGGAAAGTCCTCAGCCTGTTTAATGGCTTGCATTTGTTTACTCAAAAACCACCAAAGGGGCACGAGTCACTGTCATATAGTCTGATACTTAAGAAGTTTATATCTTTATACAGACCTCAGTGCTAAGGTAGTATCTATTCACTTTATTAATTTCATATAACTAATGATTACCCTGAAATATGAAAGAGGGGTTAAGAAAATTTAAGCATAGTAAATTGAGTGTGCATTAAAATATATTTAATAATGATTTAAATTAAAAAGCTGCAGAAAATTAGCTGATAGTAAAGGCTTATCATATGGCACTCAGACCTCTTAGATAGTCCAGCTTGAGGAGCTGTTGACTTTGGCTCCACTCTTAATTGGCTGCACTTATAAAGAAACTTCTCACTTTCATTATATATTGTTTTTGTTCTCTGAGTTAACACTATTGTGCAATCTCCCACGCAAGCAGAGGCAGCAGAAATGACCTGGAGTTAACTGATTTCCAAATAACCTTTATAACCAGATAAAGAAGTCTGCAAACATGCATGCATTCGGTGTTCTTGGAATTATTTTGAGAAAGATGATGTGGTGAAAGTCTGCTTTGATATCCCAATGTAGATAATAATCTCCATAGATGCCTTTTTATTTATAGACATTCATTTTAAGTATATTTGATTAAAAACTAGCACTACAGCTCCTAATTGCAAGAAGTATTTGCTCTACAGTACTTGAAATAAATCAATTTTAACACAGCTATAGCCACAGGCATCTGGATCCCTTTTTGTTTTTATTTTTGTTTTAATCTGGATTTGGTATAATGAAAATGGCATCGTGCCCATGCAGTTCCAGGTAGGACCTGTACCTACTCAGTAAGTGCTTGCTCTATGTTCACTGGACTTGCAGTCAGTTGCAGGGGACCACCAGACAAGTCACAAATTATTTTTTTGCTCCTTCTAAATTAATGTTTGAATTAAGAAAGCCCATCTTAATCTGTTAGTAAAAATGATAAGAGATGTTCACATTCCTAAAAGTTTATTAGTTTTTGCATTTATTTCATGTGTGCAAATAAGTCTCAACTTCACTTTTATGAATGATTCTTCAAAGCTAAGTTTTACTTAATGACTTAAATATATGGACAAGTAAGTATGTCTATTCGTTCTTTATACTGCAAATAATATTATATGCCTGCCTTTACTCTGTACATGCCTGAACATCTAACCCCCATTGATGTGTAAATTGAGGTGTTTTGTTTTGATCATATAACTCCAAATCTCCAACTTAGAAACTTTCACTTCCACTCATTCTTTCTTCTGCCTATTGAAAGCATTTTGGGGTACCCTGTTCTCTGTTTTCAGAACTGGGAATTAAACCCTAACCTAGTACATGCTGATCATGTGCAGTCAGTCACCTGGTGCATCCTGGGCATGTGCTGTCACCAAGCTCTATCTCAAGCCCTTCCTGTACTTCTAAATATGGCTTCCCTGGGCTTTTAGATTCCTGGAAACTTTGCTTGGAACAGTAAATTCTTCATCCTAAGATGTGTAAGGAGAGGAGCCAGATGTAGGCAGAGCTGTGCCAACAACAGGGACAAGACAGCATAGTTGGCTCTGATAAGCCACTCACTGAGGGTTACAAAGCTGTGTGACAGACATGGCCTCTGTCAACAACAGTTCCACATATAAAATTAGGCTCACATTGGAGCCAGTCCAACTGACAAATATGTGTTAGAGGGGTGAATCTCTAAAGATTACCAGTGAGTCTATTCTGAATGGCTCAATTATGCAAATTGGTATATGCTAAAAGCACAAAGTACATCTAATTTTTAAATGAAGATGTATCTTCAGATAATAGTAACTTAAAATCTCCATACATTATTTCATATAGCCTTTCTGAGCACCCTGAAAGGTAAGATGAATAAATAACCCTAAGATTTTCATGAGAGAAAAGCTAAATGACTTTCAGAAACACTAAGTGGGTGTCAGCAGTTACCCTATCCCAGGTGTGGTTTGTCCATTGCTCTTCAATTTAGGGTAACTGGAGATGGAAAGATGAATTATCCCCAAAACAAGGCTCACAGCTGACTCCTAAAGCAAAAGACAGACCATGTTTCCTGGAAGTTTTCTATGACAGGAGTTTGACCCAGCCTCCCATGGGTCTTTATGCTTAGGTCCCATGAGGAATGGACAGATGTGGTAACAGGACTGGACAAATGGTCATCACAGAAGCAGGAAGTTGAGCAAGGCCTAGGGGTTCAGGTGGCTCTCCTTGTGTAAGCCAGCACCCCTCTGGACCCAGATCTGGAAGGAGAAAGTGGAGACTGCTTTCTGTCTTGCTTCTAAGAAGACTTCAAGTTTTATCTCCCACCTTGAAGAAGAGGAATTCAGTTTTAATGACACATCTGGAGGACAGGTGAATCAGGAGCCAGAGACTTAGCTTGAGCATGCTTCTTGGATCTTGCAGCTTCCTCTGAGGTTCTTTGCATGCCAAAGGGCTGTGCCTTGTGCTCAAAGCCCCCACCTCTTTTTGTAGGTGTTAATGTAGCCCAGTTCAGCCTTGAACTCACTGTGTGGCTCAAGCTGACCTTGAATTTGAAGTCCTCCCACCTCTGCCTCTGGAATACTGGCATTACAGGTGTGTGCTATCACCCTTAGCTTTTTTTTTTTTTCTTAGTACTAGTCTACAGTGTACCTAATAGAAATGTCAAACCTTTATTTTGTTATTGTTTAAGCAAATATGATAACTGCTAGATTCACTGTAATTTGGTTCTGTTAACTCATGTGTGTTATTCTAGTGCATTTCCAATTTTTGTTATATTTTTCCTCAATGTTTATTAGTTTGTTTTTTTTTTTCAACGTAGCAATTTTTTATATCAAAAAAGGGTGTGGTTGAGGAGTTGAAAAGAAAACTTAGGTGGTAAAGATAGCTCAGTTGGTCAAGTGCTTGCCATGCAACTGTAAATTCAAATCTCTAAAACCCACCTCAAGCTGGGCAAGGTCTCTTGTGTCTCATTGTTTGGAGGGCCAAGATGGAGGATTCCTGAAGCTCATGGACCAGCTAGCCTGGGCTACATAGCCATGAACAACACAGAGAACCAGTCTCAAGTAAGATGGGACCAACATTGAGTTTGTCCTCTGATCTCCACATTCTAGTGTGGCAGCACACACATGCACGTACCATACACGCATCATCCACACATTTTTAAAACTACTGTTTACTGCGTTTCACTTTCACAAAATGACAGCACAGGACATGAGACAAAAACTGCATGCCTACTGCCAATATGTGTAGGAGAGGAGTTACCTGAGGTGACAATGAGTGGAGCAGTGGTCACAGTTTTCAATATCATCTGGCAGTGAGTCCTAAGGACCAAGGGTCCTATTCTAGGCCCTTGTTCAGGCACTGCTGATAGTAAAGCATTATGGGTATGTGGTTACTTATTTTCTCCACCAGGGGGTGTGTAGATACTAGGAAAGAATTTCATCAGTATCATTGCCTTAGCTGCTGTATTATACAGATGGGATCAAAAGTACTTGTTAGTTACGAGGATTAACCCAGTCACAAGTACTCATTTAGCAATGCCATTTGTCACCTGCATTGTCCTTGTTCTCCCTAGTGATGTGATAGCCAAGTGTGATTAACATTTCAGTAATGTAATAATAGTTTGTAAGAACATTGCTGCTGTCACTGGTGTGCCCTGGGTTCTTTTTCAGTGTGAACATCACTTGAGTGAATTGTTTACAAATCATTCTCCCTGGAAATCATGTAATTTGCCTCACTGTGTTTAGTTTCCTCAATACATTATCCATTTAAATGAACCACCATAAAATTTAGTATTGTTTCCTTTTCAAATTGATACTATATCCCGTCTTGTTTCTTGAATTTCAGTTCTTGGTTCTCTTTCACCATTGCAGTCATCAGTTCTCAC